AGACAGCAGATGAAGAGGAAGCCTGAGGAGGACGTCGAGAAGAATTGCCCCCGTAAGGACAGTAAGTACTAGTGGATGGCTGTTGGTAAGCTTGAGTGGTGTATCTGGAACGCCACTGCAATTTGGATTGCTTAGGTGGAGGTTGCACAGAATATGATTTCGCTGTTTTCTTACTTTTGTGTAAATTTTCCAGGTTCTCATCAGTGCTTTGGCTGAAGAGGTCGGAGGCATCAAAAGGTAGGTTTTCCACTCTAGTCTTAATATCTTCAACAATGCTAGCTGAGTGGAGCCAAGCATGCCTCCTCAAGGTAATAATAGAGGCAAAGTTCTTAGAAGTGGCCTCTGCTACGTGGCGAGCAGCAAGCCGCTGGTACTTGGATACAGTGAGAGCCTCTGCATGAGTATCCAGACAGAGCTGTCTAATATCGTCTGGCGCTATCTGAAGGGCTGGAAGAACCCTGGACCAGAGTTGTTTTTGATAGGCACCCATGGCCACTAGATAGTTAACTGCACGTAGAATGAAGGTGGTCATGGAGTACATGTGATGTGCTAAAATCTCAAGCTTCCTCCCCTCTTTGTTGGTCGGTGTAGGATGGCCCTTTGTTGGAGTCTTAGCAGAACTAGACTCTACTATCAAAGAGTAAGGTGCTGGGTGCATGACGAGGAAGGAGGTATCCTCGCCATGAATTCTATACAAATTCTCAGTCCTTTTAGAAATCGAGGTAGCACTGGCAGGGTGCTCCCAGAATTCTTTTATAAGGTCCATCAGTTCAGGTATGAAGGATAGGCTGACGGGATGTGTCCGTTCAGCTTCAATGTCTCCAAAGATTAGATTTTCCTCCTTCCTAGGAGACTGTTCAGTTGCCAATTTAAGAGCTTGGGCCATACGACCAATCATTTGAGTATAAGAAGAAAAATCTTCTGAAGGAGAGGATGGCTTCAAATTAGCCACCTCTGGGGGTAAAGGTTCCCCAGGGACTGGGACATCTAAGGACACTTCAGACTCCTCGTCCTCGTCCCCTTCCGAAGAGTCATCCCTGGGATGCTCGTCCTCCGATTGGTAGGTTGAGGATGGAGGACGAGGCACCTTCGGCACCGAGGGTGTCTTTGTAGGGCACGGCGGACCCCCATCGTCAGGCTGTCGAGGTGGTAAAACAGGAGGCACAATGGGGATATCCTTCGGCGCCGTGGGTTTGTCGGAGCCCGTGTCCAATGGTCTTTTCGGGGGAGGGCTTCGACGTGGAGAACGGGATCAAGAGGATGACGAGTAGGAGTACCTAGATCTTTTCCTCCTATGTCTCCTCTCTCTTGAGGTCGAAGAGGACTCGGTGGAAGAATCCCTCCTTCGCCGTCTCCGGTGGGACCTCTTCCGACCCCGACTGTAATCAGAGTCGGTGAGGAGTCCCTTCGGCGTCGGTGGCCTCGTCAGTGCTTCCTGCGGTGACGGCGCTTCTTCGCCGGTGGTTCATCGTCGGCAGAGTTAGAAGCTGGCTGCCGAGGAATTGGTTCCTCCAGAGGCTTG